TAACAATATTAATAATATAGGTACTGAAAAAGTCTGGATAATGGATGTGGCAGTGGCTACAGACAGGAGAGTAGAAGAGAAAGACCTGAAAAAGATGACACAAGACCTACAAATAGAAGTAAAATGCCTGTGGCACAAGAAAGCAAAGGTAATGATAACAACCAATAATAACAGGCAGCTTGGGTGCTTGTTTTGGGTGCAATCCCAAAACAACTAGAGCACCATTCAAACACCACTGGCATTGACAAAAATCACCACCAGTAAATTGCAAAGGGCAGCTTTACTTGGAACAGCTTATATCCTATGATGATACTTTTTAACATCCTCAAACATCAATATCTGGCTGTCCCAGGTCTTTGGGAAGGACTCAATAGATGGAAAAAAATGCCAAATCCAGTCTGAATATCTGGCTGACTGAGTGACAAACCATAAAACAAAATAGTAAGACACTGCTTCTCCTATTACAAACCCCATATTGAATGAGATTTGAAAAAGAAACTGGTGCACAGAAACTCCTGCAATCAGAGGATGATGTAGCTGGTGCTGGGGGGGACTGGGGGGACAGGATGGACCTCAGCTCCAGATTATGAAATGAATTCCCTCTGGAGTTTTACGGAATCTGCAGATTTCATCTTTTACCAGGCTTCATCGATTTTAATATTATTTTTTATTTTTTATAGTAAATCTCCATCCCCAAAGAGGTTTGAGAAGGTGGCATTCTATTGGTTATCAAAAGCAATTCAAGATCATCACAGGAGAGAGACTGCTTCAAACAAGAACAAAATATAAATCACAATAAGCATATGAGCAATATTCCGTGGCTGTAAGGGCAGGCTCTTACTATTGTCAAAGAGGCTTCTGGAATTAGAACAGCCTTTCATCTGGCGAACCAAATTAGCCCAGAGAGGAATGTTACATCCACATGCTCTCAGTTCTCAGGATTACAGAGCAAAACAGCAAACAAAACCAGGCAACAAATATCAGAACTAAAGACGAGCAGAGTGGGGCTAATTTGATTCTGGATTTCTGTTATCCGAAGAATATTTGCTCGCTGAAGCTGAGCAGCAATTTCCCCTCTGTTAAGAGAAGTCATGTACTTTTGAAAAACCCTACATTAAAGGAGTGAAGGACTTCCTGGAGTCAAGTTTGATTGCACGGATTCCCTCCTTTCCTTCTCAGCATCAGCCAAGATTGGCTAGGTGCTGCCACCTGCTGGGTCATCAAGAACACTACATGAGTACCTCGCTCTGCTTAACATTAACACACAGGTTATCTCTAATTATACCACTTCATTGTATCAAGGCCATGACACTTAACTCCACTGAATAAAAGAAAAGCGCTGCAACCAGAGATACTGTCATGCCCCTGCTGGAATCTGATTCCAAGGGGGAGGTCAAGCAGCTGACAGGGAGTGGGAGTGTGGCTCCCATGGCTGTGGAAGAAACTGGGGAAGGGCACAGTCTTGCTGGGCAGAGCAGGGAAGAGGTAGAGCAAGGCAGAGGGAATTCAGAGGAAGGGACACCTCCTCTTCATCCGGGCAGACAGGGAGGAATGGAGAAGGGAGCAACGTGAGTTGCGTGGCTTACGGGGGAAGAAAGAGCCCTGATTCCCTTCCAGCTGGGAAAACAACGTTTAAAAAATCAAGCTACACACAGCAAAGTTGCTGGAAACAAGCTGTGAGTTATCTTTGTTTGTCGAGGTTTATCTGGGTTCCTGGCATCTTCCCAACTTTTGTTCGCCTTTGAAGTCTGCAATTCCTTATCCTGCCCTGTCCAGTTAATTGCTGCAGCATAGTTTGTGTGGATTTTTATTTATAGTTTATATGTATTTTATTTTTGGACTGAATTCCCTCTGCTTAAAGACTGTTCTTGGGAGGATTTTTTCTCCAGCCAAAGGTAACTGGAACATTGGGGGCAAAGCTGGAGGTATTAAAGGGACTTTCCTTACTTATGTGACTATGTTGCCTTTGTGCTACGCCCCAGGTCATCACAGATACACTCCACATCAGTTTATTGTGTAACATACACACACACACACACACACACACATATCATGTTACTATTATGGACTTTTTCCCACATTATTCAAATATTAATTCCAGCCTTGCTTCATTCAGCGTTGCCCCTCTCCTCATCAAATCTTTTCACCTTTATCACATTGGGCATACTAATTTTGAACAAAATACTAACAGAGCAAATGCAATCCATGTGCTCTTCTCACCAGCTAAGTCCTACCCAATCACTAAATTAACGTTTTTGGTCAGTCTGGAAATCAGTATTTCTAACTATTCTGATATATAACTGGCTCTTAAGGAGAAGCAAAGAGTCAATTAGCCCTTCCAGAAAATTATAATCAAAAACAATACAGGTTATCCTTCGTTTAATGACCTTTCAAAATTGCAACAGGATTGAAAAAAATGACCATTCAAACTTAAGACACATGATCAAAATTTGGGCACTTGACAACTGGCATGTATTTATGATAGTTGTATCAAAAGAGCTACAGTGGTGCAGTGGTTAGAATGCAGTATTGCAAGCTAACTCTGCTGACTGCTGGCAGTTCGATCCTGACTGGCTGAAGGTAAACTCAGCTTTCCATCCTTCCAAGGTCAGTAAAATGGAGACTCAGATTGGTAGGTTCCTGAATTTATACAGAAGCTTTGTGTCCTTACTATAGTAGAAGCAAGAATAGGTAAATAATTTGTATGCCCCTGTGTTTGTTTCAAAAATGAGACATTGTCATAGGCAACTTAAAAAACATATAGATAAGAAAGTATCAGTCTTTTAAACAGGAGAAAATTGTGGGATATATTAAATAATAGATATTTCTTATCTATTTTTTGGATGTAACCAAAAATAGAATAAAGCTGGAATAAATGTCACAGTCCATAAAAAAGTGGCAAGAAGCCAATATGTTTTTAGAGCTTAATCTGCATATTACAGCACTATACAGATAAAAAGAAACATCTCACTGAATAATTTATCAATTCTTTTAAAGTCTTTCAGATGACTGTAGGTGGCAAAATAGCATACATTTTTTTTAACAAGACTAAGTAATAAAATATATGTGTGGGGAAAAATATTAATTTATCCATATAGATTTTGTGCCAAAAATGCAGGTGACTGTAATACATATAACTGTAATTTGATATAAATTTTATATTTATATATTGTATTATAACCCAAATTCAAAGTTATACCCTGTGAACAATTTACAAAACACCTGGCGTTAACTAACCTCTTTGACTGCTCTAATGAAATCTGTATTATTCTGTAATTTAGGACCCATCATAACTCACCAGCTGTAATTAAGGAAAGGGCATTCGGCAGCCTCCCTAGTCACATGATACAAATATGCTGACAAAAAGGACTTTCTACTATGGAGACATATGGGGGGAAACTTCATACAAGAATTGTCAGGCCTCACAACACAGGTTAACTTTTTAGCATTCCTGAAAATCTTAAGAAATAAACTCACTTCAGACTCACTATTAAATATTCATCATTACACTTCAACGACTGAGGACACCAGATAAAACACATGGTGAGAGTTGAGCTGTAAGTCTAACTACTTTTGCTACATGTGGATATTATGTCTTAACTGAATCCCTGTTTGAGGGTCAGAGGCCATAGTTCAGGCTTGTTGGCCCTTACAGGTAGTCCAGACAAGAAGCACAAAATATGAGGACTAGCATTACTTTTATTGTAAATTTACAGTAACAGAATCTTACAAGTCTGAAAGCTCCTCTTTTATTTTTATTTTCCAGAAAACTAGGGAAGGTGTCTTTTAAGGTGCCTCAAGGGCTCATTTGCTTCTATGAACTTAAGCACCTTTGAAGAATCGTATTCCTGTTATAGAATATTATAGAATACTATAACAGGAATAGGTACTCACTACTATAAACTCTGGGTGGTTTAGAAATGTGAAACACAAGCAAACGAACACCGTGATCTTCCTGATTTTCCTGTCCACAGAGAAAAGAAATCTGGGAATGAGATCTCGCTGAACAACAACAACACTACTGCTTCTTTCTGACACTGATTTGAAATGTTTACTGTGCGTGGTGGCTATTTATATATCTTCAATATATTTTATACTCTTTTTTAAAAGGGCTTCTCCTGATTCAAATGTAACCCAGACACAAAGATAAATGTAATCATCAGAATGACAAGACTATGCTCTCCATCTGATATCCTCAGCTATTTCAAAAGAAGAATTACTGGAGATAACACCCTGCACTACTTTCTGATACAACTGTCAAGGGATGTTTGAAAAATATTCATCTAATGCTATCTGCTATGACTGGCGCTGCAGACAGAAGCAAAATCATCAAAATGTCATTCTCCCCACAGATGTGATACAATAAGGTATCGTGATCGAAGGTACAGGTAGTCCTAAATCACAATTGATCTCAAAATTTCTGTTGCTAAATGAGACATTTGTTAAGTGAATTTTGTCCCTTTCTTGCCACAGTTCAGTGAATCGCTGCCATTGTTAAGCCAGTGGCACAGTTGTTAAATGAACCTGGCTTCTCTCCTATGACTTTGCTTGAAAGGTTGCAGAAGGTGATCACATGACCCTGGGACTCTGCGACTGTCATAAATATGAGCCAGTTTCCAAGCATCTGAATTTTGATCATGAGGATGCTCCAACAGCCATGTGAAAAATGGTCATAAGTTACTTTCTTCAATGCTGTTGTAACTTTGAACAGTCACTAAATGAATTGTTGTAAGTCGAGGACTACCTGTACTAACATGACATGGAATATTGAGTAATAATGAGTAATAATGCTCTGTAAAGAAAACCCATCAAATAAGATAATCAAGCTGGATGACCAGGCATCATCTAGAAAAACAGCTTCTTCCAGGAATGCCTGGAACTGGATTGCTATCATCATCTTGATATATTAAATAAATATTCCATTCCTTCCCAGACCACCTTGGTTAAAACATTACGACATCCAATGTACTGCAGACTTGAATGAATCTAAATATTCTGACCTTCAGGAGGTGCTGGTTTATCCATTTTGTGAATGTTTTCTTTTGTACTTTGTCCCGTTCATCTGAGAAGGAAAAAAGGAAAGAAAAACAAAATGTCAGCATTTCTATAATTAGAAGCCAAAAGTAATAATAGGAACAATGGAAAATAAATTGCTTTCTTTGCTTCAAATAAACTGAGAAATAATTGCATATTTCCCATTATTAAACTTAAGGGAACTTCCATCCCTACCTAAATCATCAAGATTTTTAGGGTATCAGCAGAGTACACTTTGCAATTTTTTAAATTCACTTTTATTTGAAATACCATTATCAGGTAATGAAACTGATTCGCCATCTTCTCAAACTTTGGGACTGACCCAAAGTACATCTGTTTGTTGTCATCTTTTGGAAACACCAGTGACACTCTTGTCTAATACCCAGGTGAAATCTCACTTTATGTGAGTATGTGCCACTCAATGCTCTTCAAAACTTTTTAATACTGATTAAAATTATATTTGCCTGCATATAAGAAAAAAAGTAATCCTTATTTTTAAATAAAGATTACAAATAACCAAATCACTGCTACAAACTAGATATTTATTTTGTGTTTCACAACAAGACTACAAATAGTCCTCTCTTAATGACCACAGCTGAGCCCAGAATTTTTGTCATAAGTCACTGCAGTCATTAAGAACATCTTCACATGACCTGACCTAATTTTATGGCTATTTCACTATTATAAAAGTGAGTAACAATTGTAAAGTGCATTGCCTGATCATTAAGGGAACCATGTGATTGTTAAATGAATCCATTTTTATGAATGGGAATTTTTTGCCAGAATCAAGGAAAAAATTCTATAAACTAACATTTCCAAATTATGATTATGGTATAATTTATGTTATTATAGGATTTGATTTATAATGTAACTTACCTAGAAGCATACCATATAATACAAGTTTTTGCATCAGCGAATTTACAAACATTAATCAATGTTGGTGCTAGCTATGAAAAATTTCCAATTTATTTAATAAAGGTATACAGATGCCAACAATCTCACTGAAAATAATTGTGGGTGGCATACAACTATCAAATAAAACCACAGTTATAAAACAATCTTATAAAAATATAGACGATCATTATTTAAAAAAATAAATCGTTTAAAAATTAGATGATACAAACCATAAACACAGAGAGAGATAACAGCAACCACATGTCACCTACATTAAGGAGGGCACCTAAAATGTTGCCAGTTTCCTGGGAGCCTGAAATCTAGGGACTTAACCAAGTTTTGAAGAACTTCCAGAACATTAAAAATATAATGGAGCTAATCTAAATTAGAGGTGCAGGGATATTCCATAAGATGAGTACCATAGTAGAGAAGGTCAAACATGTAGGTCACACGCAGCTAGAATCCATAGCATGCCATCCCTGCTGGATCTAATAGGATGGGCTGATGTAATTGGGGAATATCAGTCCCACAAATAACCTGGTCTCAGGCGATGAAGGGTTTTGAAGGTTAAAAACCAGCACCTTGAATTGGACATGGAAACAAACTGATAACCAATGTAGTTCATGCAGTATACGTGTGACACGTGCTGTCCATGATGCAGCATTGTGCACTATATCCAGAAGATTTAGAGCAGGGGTCCCCAAACTTGGCAACTTTAAGACCTGTGGACTTCAATTCCCAGAATTCTCCATCCAGCTGACTGGGGAATTCTGGAAGTCCACAAGTCTTAATGTTGCCAAGTTTGGAAACCTCTGATTTAGAGGATATTTACAGTATCCCGCCATGAGTGTAAGTTTTTGGACTAGGCTTTATATCAAGGTTTCTGAACTGTTACAACTTCAAGATGTGCATACTTCAGTTCCCCAGAATTCCTCAGTCAGCATACCAGCTTGGGAATTCTAGGAGTTAAAGTCCATACATCTTAAATTTGCCATGGATGTGAAATATTGATTTCTATGAAGCCAAGTGGAGGATCAGACTACACTTTTCCACAGGCACACATTTAGTCCCTTAATTAGAATATAGTATCTTGTAGAATAGAGTATCTTAGAAAACAATTTATAAACATTTTGGATTTCAAGATGAAACCTTGCAGTTGACAGTTTAAATCTTAAGTTCTGACTACAGTACTTCAAGGTACACTGCAAAAATTTATGTAAAAAAAAAAGAGGTAATACAATTCAGATTTAGAAAGCTGAACTTAACCCTGAACCGTCAATTGCATCCTGACCCAACAAGCCTATAGAACCCTATAGTCTCCCCAAGTTTGGGACTTTCCCTTTATTATATACAGTATATATGCTGTCCCAGCCAGTCTATGGGAATTGGGTAGTTACTTAGGAATTATGAGCTGTCCCCTTAAGGGAATGCATCATGGTAAATATAGTTAAAAGGTATCCTGGGAAATGTAGTCCATGTCACGTGGACACATCTGTAATCCTGATTGGTCACTAAATTGACCCTCAATGGGTTGGGGGAATTTTCCTCACTTTTGCCTGAACTCTCTAACTCATGGCAGCTGCTTTCTATTGCTACAAGATGGGTTAGGAGATAACCATCTTTTACTACAAGGCAGATATGTAGTCATTAAAGAAGAACTTCATCACAAATGTGAGTTATGAGGATACCTGATAAACCAATAAATGTACTTTGTTATGGACATCTTGTTGAGTTTATCTATCTGCATCTGCACAGCTTAAAAATCCACTACTGTGCAAAAGACAGAAAAGTATAAGCAGGGATGTACTTTCCTTCAGCTTATATCCAAACATAAGAGAATGAGATCTAAAAATGACTATCTCAATACTATGTGTCATACGAGTGGAATCCAGCAAACCACCTTCCTAAAAACTAGTTTTCTTCCAAGCCGGATTGTGTTTTGGAATCCTGCTTTCTATTCATATGATGGTTTGAAGAAAAATAATTTGTATTTTGGTGCAATTGTTAACAAAGAAGTACAAGGTACGTAATAGGATGTTTTACAAAGTAGCTCTCTTCTAAGTGATAAAATGCCTAGAGACAGAAGGTTTTGTTCTTTGAAGACTATCCCAAAATTATTTCCACAAACTGACTGTTAAACTGAATAATGTAATTTGTTTTAATGAATTTATTTATTTTATTAATTTTATGGAATTTTGTAAAATCACTGTAACTCTTTAAGAGTTGGCAACATATACTTACCACAAATAAATAAATGGAGTAAGCAAAACCACTTTGCTTTGCAGGCATTCTCAGAAGTGTTGCTTATACACACCCATGCGTGCAGAGAGACAACTGGGAAAGCCTTCCTAGCAAGTGCACTGAGCCTCCTGGTGACACAGCTGCGTAAGTGATGTGAAGCAGGATGTCTTGCTTGTGCTACTATATTTAATGAAGTTCTTTTTCTAAAGGTTTTAGGAGTAGTTCACCCAGGGGTGGGATTCCAAATTTTAAACAACCGGTTCTGTGGGCGTGGCTTAGGTGGTGGGCATGGTTTGGTGGTCATGTGACTGGGTGGACATGGCTTTGTGGTCATGTTATTGGCTGGGGGTGGCCAACTCAATATCACTCACATAGAGGCACACATCTACTCGCCTGGCCTCTCATGACTGTGGGGATGCTGCAACAGTCGTAAGTGTGAAAAATGGTCATAAGTCACTTTTTCCAGTGCCATTATAACTTTGAATGGTCACTCCACACAAGCAAAGTACCAGCAAAGGAGGAGAAAAAAAAACTCCAGAGAAGCTCCGGAGACAGAAAGCCTAGTCCTGCCAAGAAAGTAATAAGGGTTAATGGAGAGGCAATTTCTGTAAGCAACACCAGAATGTTTCCTTCCTGCCTTCCTTACAGTAATTTCTTCTAACAACCGGTTCTCCAAACTGCTTAGAATGTTAACCGGTTCTACAGAATAGGTGCGAACTGGTAGAATCCCACCCCTGAGTTCACCACTAAGCAGTACAAAAATGCCTAATTATCCAGAGGAAGATAAGAACATAAGGGAAACGCAGTACATTAGTGCGGGCCTTGGTATTTGTGAATAATGGCACATTTTGTCATTGTGCCTGGACGCAGCCAGGATGATATATGGGTGATGATAGATAAAATTAATTAGGTGGGCCATCATCTACAATGATGATGATGATTGTCATCTCTTAGCAACCCTAAAGACAGATTTTCTCCAGAGAGATCTGTCCCTAACCTGGACCTTCAAGTCTTCCAAAGGTGCACCCATCATCACTGTAACTGAGTCTCTATACCCCTTGTTATCGGTTGCCCTCTTTCTTTCCAATTTCCCAACTTTATAAACTTCTCAAGAGAGTTTATGTAATGTATCCAAAATATGATGATTCATACCGCACCTCGTCATTTGTCAGAATTTCAAGCTCACTCAAAAAGACAAAGAAAATAAAAATCCCACTAATTCAAATAGGACTAATATAGATTATTCTAGTATGAAAACTATCTAAAACAGTATATCATGTAGCCACACAAGAAGTGTGTGTCTGGAATGAGGGACATTCACTATGATGAAAAGTCTAACTAAAGTAATACGACCACAAATATTTACCCTTTCCATTTTAACATGAGATCTTCTAAAATTACAGCCTAACCTCAACTCAAGCACTGGAGGCAACTGCCACCAACACAAATGGGGCTTATTTGGTAAATGCCAATAGGCAGCATGTGCCCTCTTAAAAATATAGTTCAGGCATTTACTCTTTGCCTCAGAAGTCATTCCTTCACCAAAAAACAAACGAACAAAAAAACCCACATTTATTCCAATATTTTTCTGCAATGTAATTATGAATTGCAGTTTGCATGATTTTGGGGGGGAAAGTAGCCAGATAAGATCCCATTTTGTACTATCCCTAAGTAGAGAAATCTAATTTTAAATGTGAGATCCCTTTCATATTCTGCCAGCCGGCAGTTGTCTACATATGAGACAGATATCATTGCTGTCCTAAGAGTTCTAGGACAGAAGCAGCCAAAATAGTCTCTACCTACTTCTTGTTCTTGCTCACAAACCTCCTCCATCTGGGTGCGTGACCATATTCCACTAGCTACTTTAGCTATGTTTAATTAAACTATCCTTTA